CATTGTTTTCCATAGCAGCTACACCATTTAGCATCCAATTTCTTTGCATTTTTATGAATACTTGTCTTTTGTTTGCACATTTATTATTTATCTCTTTCTAGAAACCTGTCCTACCTTCCTTTGGGTTTTTTTCTACCCTCATTGCACTTTACAGGTGGGTAGATAATCAAAGCCAAGCCAATCATAATACTCCATCCTCCTGGCCATCTCAGTTGGTTCAGTGCTAAATTGGAAGAATTAGAATTGAGGGATAATTATAGCCATAATTTCTGTGACAAGGAGGAATTCATACTGCATTAGAACAGAATGGAGTCAAGCAAAAATCTGTGATCACTGGCAGAAATGGGAGAGGGAGAGATCCTATGCAACTCAGTAGCATGAAGTTTCTAGTCCAAGCCCTTGGGGCTCATTCTTTGATTCTGAAAGCCAGTCTGTCACCCTTATGCTTAAACTGGTTTGGGTTGTTTTTGTCACCTTCAACCAAAAGAATTCTAACCCCATACAATTTTACTTTTTAGAGCATTTGGCCAGATCTCCCTTGGCTTCTAGTTATTTGCATTTTCATCTTATCTCTTACACCCAGATGTGAACTTCTTCAGAAACAGATTCAGGACTGACTTGCCCTGTGTCCTAGATGATTTCTATTTCATACTAAGCAGGTCTTAGTAAGCATTGGCATTTGGTAAATAAGCTAAATAAACATATATTTTTTATGTATAGAGTCATACTAGCTACTTTTTGTGGAGTGTTTGCTATGTAGTAAGTATCTTCCAGAGTAATGCATATGTTATTTAATCTTTACTACCCATTTGGGAGGCACTATTACTGATTTTACAGATGAGTGAACTGAGTTTTAAAGAGGTTAAAGCCACTTGTCCAAGGTGTCCTAGTAAATGATGAATCTTAGACTTGAGCCAGGATTCTTTTTTTTAAGGATTTTATTTATTTATTTGAGAGAGAGTGAGAGAGCACAAGCAGGAGGAGCAGCAGAGGGAGAGGGACAAGTAGATCCCTCACTGAGCAGGGAGCCCCATGTGTGGCTGGAACCTAGGACCCCAGGATGTTGACCTGAGCCAAAAGCGGATGCTTAACCACTGAAGCACACAGGTGCTTGAGCCAGGATTCCTGATTACAAAGCTCATGCCTTCAGTTATTGCCTATCAGTATCCATCATTTCTATCCTAAAAGTTAAATTAGACATGACTCCCAAATACCTACCCACAATGTGAGAATTTTGTTGCCTTTAAAGTAAGTTCTGATGTTTATTACTCTTTACATGATTATAATCAAATTGAATATAGGCCTCAAAGGTAAAATTATTCCATCTTTCCCCCAAATTAGATTAAATTTAGACAAGTAGGCTATGTATATCAAAAAGTCCTGCTCTCTGAAGGAAAACTATTTGAATACTTATTGTGCTAGAGATCAGGACTAATTTGACCACTAATATTTAGGCCTATAGTATACTTTTAGGGATAGAGTTTCATGTTCTCCTCATACCATAATACTAGGTTTTGATTAAAGGGTGTAGAAATATTAACTACTTATGAGAAACATGCTCATTCAAAATGCCTCAGTTGAATATAGAAGTACTACAAAAAGCAAACTTCACCATTTATATTTATTCAAGTAAGTCATATCATGTGGTATTCAGTGAATTCAAGGTGTTTCCAATGCTGTGACTAAAGTAAAAGAGGGAACTGACTGCATTCTCATTGATAATGCTAGAAAGAAAAAAAAAAGATAATGCTAGTAAGTCTCGGGACTAAACCTTGTGTAGGCAAATTAGTGCTTTTCAATGCCACAGACTCCACAGGCACCCCTGGGGTACTAGATGTGAGAGATAACATAAGAGAGCATGGGTCATTCAGTACAACCCAAAGTACATGTTTTCTCATGGCTCATTTATTTCAAACCATTTACTTCAAACCATTACTCCTATCTTTCAAACCATTACTGACTACCTGATGTGTGTCAGGTACTATGCTAGGGGCTGGGAAGTCTCATGATGAACAAGACACATACAGTCTCTGTCCTCATGCAACTTAGTTAAGGAGACAGACAATAAAGGATGGGGTGACTGGGTGACGGGCACTGAGGGGTCACTGGACGGATGAGCCCTGGGTGTTATACTGTATGTTGGCAAATCGAACTCCAATAAAAAAATATACAAAAAAAGAGCTAAAGAAATAAAGAAGAAAATATCAGGTGCTGTTAAGTGTTATGTTGAAAATACGATAGGGTAATCTGATTGGAAATGATTAACTTCTAATATGAGGAAGTTGGTAAGGGAAGGTTCTTCTCAAGGAGTGTGAAATACCAAGAAAGAATTAGCCTGAGAAGGCATAAGAGAAGTACGCCAGGCAAAAGGAATGGCTAGTGCAAAGGTCCTGAGGCAGAAATAAACTTGGTGCTATCAGGTTTTGAAAAGATGATTGGTTAAGTGTCATTTTTTGATAGAATAGGGAACAACGATCTAATGGCTCTGTCACTGTTAACTACAGGAAAGACTTCTAATGATTCAAATTATCCTCAGAAAACTTTGGGAATGTTAGCAGTGGCAATTCCAGAGATGGTGGGATTAGGAATCATTTTTATTTTTGCTTCTCTTTATTTTCTGTTTTCTTGCTTAATAATAAACATAATTCTTTCTGCTTAATAATACCAACATATCCTATGGAAGGCAAAGAAATGTACTTGAGGGCCTGAGTAAAGGTAGATTTGGGGGGGGGGCGCCTGGGTAGCTCATTGGTTGAGTGTCTGACTCTTGATTTCAGCTCAGGTCATGATCTCAGGTTTGTGAGATTGAGCCCTGCACTGGGCTCCATGCTGGGCATGGAGCCTGCTTAAGATTCTCTCTCTCTCTCTCCCTTCCTCTGCCCCTCTCTCTCTTTATAAAAAAAAAAAAAGGTAGATTTTGGAATGACAATAAAATTCATTGCCAACACTAAATGTAATTTACTGGAAAACATAAATATGATTTTGGTAGAATTGGAGAGGTAACACTTCAGAAGAGCATGGGGCAACCTGTCAGGTAAAGGGGACTTAAAATGAGTAAATGATGTATCCTGTCACCTAAACTGGAGTAAGAGCTCAGCCTTTCATAAGAAAGAGGGTGATGGTGTCCTTCTGGATCTATGTACTCAGGTTCTAGTACTATTGTTTTCTTGGTCAATGGATTCAGATAGGTGAGCTGGGCTCTATATTTATTTAAGTAGGCTCTGTGCCCACCATGGAGCCCAACACTGGGCTTAAACTCAGGACCCTGAGATCAAGACCTGAGCTGAGACATCAAGAGTTGGACACCTAACTGACTGAGCCACCCAGATACCCCAAGGACTCTATATCTATTAATGGCTGTTTAGACTGGGGCTTGGCCTCCTAATTTGTCTTTAAGTTGGATCTGCAGCAGTCCCCAGAGCCTCGTTTGGCCAGTGACCAAGCTCCAGAGAAACTCTGACTTGAGATATAAGTCAGAGTAGGTAGGGTGGAAGAGCCAGCCTGGGACACCTAAATATTGTCTATTCCCTGCCACTTACTAGACTATGTGTGGGCAAACTACTCTCTGTCTTAGTAGTCTCCCATTTTCTCATCTCTTAAATGAAGAGGCTGGACTAGAACATCTTTATGATCATTTCTAGCTCTAAATTTCTATTTCTATTCTAAACCTCTTACTATGAAAATTCTTGTGGCTCTATTTCTCCAAAAGAAGAATAGCACTGACTGATAAGCGGAATTGGGGCCAGTGAAGCATTCAAGCATGCACAAACCAGAGAGAGAAAAATAGTTGATATGCTAATTTTTACTTTCCCTTTCCTTAGCCTTTTATACCGAAATGTTAATATTGGTGACATTCTTAGGGAACAGGAGCTGTTCAGTAGGCCTTGGATTCTGGCTTACACATATGGAGAGTAGTTCCTCATAAGCAAAGGCTGAACATCTCTTTTCTCTCCTAAAATAATTAGTATCAGCTCCTCTTCTGCTTTGATGGAAGGTTTAGAACAGGAAACATAGGGAACCTAAAGAGGAGGAGAGGTGTCACTGAGATGCAATGGAGAGACTTGCCAGTGACATCACACTTCCGCTGAGGACTGGTTGTATATACCTTCTATTGTCTGGGAATGGATAGAAGCTATGGAGGAAATGGCTTAATTGTGTAAAGACACACAGCAATGCAACATAGTAAAAACATTGCCATGGAGTGGCACAGTTCGTACTAATATATGATTTGGCTTTTTTCTTTGTTATTGCAATATTGATAATATTATAAAGAGAGCTTTATTCCAGAAGGGCTTATTAATTGACTGAGGTGGGATGAGGAACTGCAAACCTCTTCCCTTCTTATTCTATCAGAAGATTCTTTTGGAATAAAAAAAGAATAAAAAATGAGCCATTCCATGCTGTGAGTTATTGAGTTACTGACAATAGCACTGAGCACTGCTCCAGGTACAAAAGATATTAAAAACATTAACAAATGGGAGAAATTAACCAACTCTCTCTATCTTGATTTCCTCATCTCTAAAGTGGGAATAGATTTTATGAATTGTAAAGCCTTTAAAGATATGTACAATAATAGTTTATTGAACATTAATAAATATGACATAGGACCTTCGTGGAATGAAAGATTTAAGCTAGTTCCTGAAATAATTACTTCCTTCATGGAAGCTCATTTATTTAGTGTGAGAGTTTCACTGATTATTTGACTACTGCCAACTATAGTTTACCTACTATTTGCAGGATATTTGGATATAAGCAAGTATATATACAGGTTTATATTGAAAAACAATCATAAGAACAGGGTGCATCAATAATTCATAGGAAACTCAAAGTTCTCAGAAGAATTTTGGCCACCATGGATTGAATTTCTCTTAACCACTGTCTAGGGTTTGGGGAATTGCTGGTGCCAATCAACGTGGGGGGTGACGAAGGAAGGATTTCTCCAATTTATTGTCATTAAAAGAAACTTTCAATTGGAAATAAGTGTTCAGGTGGGTGGAAGCGTTGTCTGGTTTTGGCGTTTCGCGCAATGCTGCGGCCGGGAGACCCGGAGCTGACCCAGAGACACTTGAATTAACTTTAGCAGAAGAGAAATGGAGGAGCCATAGAACATTAAGGATGAATTCAGGAAGACCCGAGACCATGGAGAACTTGCCTGCTCTCTACACTATTTTCCAAGGAGAGGTTGCTATGGTTACAGACTATGGAGCCTTCATCAAAATCCCTGGCTGTCGGAAGCAAGGTCTGGTCCATCGAACTCACATGTCATCCTGTCGTGTGGATAAGCCCTCTGAGATAGTGGATGTTGGAGACAAAGTGTGGGTGAAGCTTATTGGCCGGGAGATGAAAAATGATAGGATAAAAGTATCCCTATCCATGAAAGTCATCAACCAAGGAACTGGGAAAGACCTTGACCCCAACAACGTTATCATTGAGCAAGAAGAAAGGCGGCGGCGGTCCTTCCAGGATTACACTGGGCAGAAGATCACCCTCGAGGCTGTCCTGAACACCACCTGCAAGAAGTGTGGCTGTAAAGGCCACTTTGCAAAGGATTGTTTTATGCAACCAGGAGGGACCAAGTATTCTCTGATACTGGATGAGGAAGAGGAGAAGGAAGAGGCAAAGTCAGCAGAGTTTGAGAAGCCTGACCCCACAAGGAATTCTAGAAAAAGAAAGAAGGAAAAGAAGAAAAAAAAAACATAGAGACAGGAAGTCGTCTGACTCTGACAGCTCAGACTCTGAGAGTGACACAGGCAAGAGGGCAAGGCACATATCAAAAGACAGCAAGGCAGCAAAGAAGAAGAAGAAGAAGAAGCACAAGAAGAAACACAAGGAGTGAGAGTGGAAAGAGTAGAGGGGGTGGTGAGAGGAGGAGGAACCAGGAGCCTTGTGCCTTGAAGCCCTGGCTCCGGGAAAGACTCAGTATTGTGAATATGGCCTCCCACCCCACTGACTTTTCACCCGCGGGAGATGGCTTCCCCTTACGCAGCAGGCAGGTTTGGGAGTTAGATGTCAAAGCATCTGCCTGAATGAGTTGTTGTTAACTTATCCTTCCTGGTCCCTTTGCAAGTGACCCCTGCAGCTCACCCATTCATTCACTCAACTTCCTTCATTCAGCAGGAGGTCCTATTACCCTCTCCAGCTGCCACTGCCAGAGCCAGATTCATGGGACTCCTGCACGGGAGTCCAGGCTGCAGCCACAGGTACTGCTGTGGAGGCGAGTCTGGCTGTAGTTGGGAGAACAGTGATGCCCCCCCCCCCTGCCGTCGGGTCTGCCCTGGGCTGATTGGTGAGTGATCCCTGCGGCGTCCGACACAGGGGCCGAGGGAGACCAGCAGGCGGAGGGAGAACATGGTAAGAAGTCGTGCTCACTTTCTCCATTCCCCCAGTGTGATTCTACCAGGCTACAAGGGACAGCCCGAAAACCATTGTTTGCAGCGATTGAGTTTATGTGGGACACTCAGCCAGACCCCTGAACCACATAGCTCAAGCCAAGATAATTGCTTTACTTTGTATTTACTACTGTGTGAGTCAATTGGTTCCACTTCAGGTCTCTGCTTAAATTCCTGGCATAAACGGAAAAAAAAAAAAAAAGGAAATAAGTGTTCATGTAAATTGGTATCATGTACAAGCCTGGGAAATAGCATTTCATTAACTGATAGTTGTAGTTTTGTATCTTACAGTGAAATTCGTCAATTCAGGAAGGGGATAAAGAGTTAAAATGTTTGAATGGCAAAATAAGGTCTCTTCATATGTGAATGGTGCTTGGTGACCATTTGAGGGTGAAGTGAGAATGGGGACAGAAGAGACTTGCAGCAGTTTGTCTTTGACCTGTATGAATTAATGATTGAGATGTGAGTCACAAGGGAAGTAAGACTGTCCCCAAAAGAGGTAACTGAGGGGACTCCCAGGGAAGGGGAATGTGAAAGGCACTATGAAATAAGATATTCTTAATCTTTTCATAAAATCCATCAGAACGATTGTACAGTCCATTAAAAGTTGGCATGTTACCAGACACATCTAGACATCCAGAGAGCCTGCTGCCATCAGTCACAAAGGACATTCTGTCCTAGACACCCTAACGCCAACACCACGTAGTAATGGGAGTGTTAGTGACTGAGTGTGTGTCAGTGGGATCATGGCACGAGTTCTGTCTAATATTAGTCATGAGAGTTTTTGTGCACCATATCCTAGGTGTTATTAGAACCATAACAGGAGAACATAGAGATCATTTTATCAAGTCTCTTAATTGTCTGGAAGGGGATAAAGGCACGCTGACTTAACCGAAGATGCACAACAGGTATCCTGTTTCTTAATCTGATGATCTTCCTACTACAAGAAATAACTCACTTCAACTCTTGCGTGGGTTCCTTAAACAGATCACATAAAGTGTTTAAACTGTATGTTCAATATGTACAAGGTAAATCAATACAGAAGGAAAATCATTGCAAGTGCCCTGGCCATATAATAGCACTTGTCATAGGCTGCTGTGGTGGTCATAACTAAAGGAATAGGAGCTTTATTAAGGAGACCAGTTGTCATGGCTCATTATGTGCCATCAGCCTTCTACCGAACACAATCTTTCCTGCTTATGTCACACCACCTGAGAGCTTTTGGAATATATGTCCAACAAAAGAAAAAATGCCGAGTTCTATTGCCAGTCACTTCTAATCAGGGTCATATCAAAGATTGCATAATATTGACTACATGCTCAGCATATTCCCAGTGGGAAAGAGTAATAAGTGCTGTCTGATGCATATTTTGTTTCTTGACCACATTCCCTTTACGCCAATATCTTTGGTGATCTGGTGGGCTCCAGGACTAAAGGCAAGGACCCACAATGATTTCTTCTTAGCAAAGAAGCTGCTATTACTTTCCCTGTGTGCCCTTTTCCATTACCAAATGATCTCCCTCATGGATCTCCCATGATGACCACCATCCCCTTCCCTCCCCACCCCCTACATCCCCCATTCTTGAAAGGTATCTGTTATATTACATGAGTCTACAGTGTTACAGCATTCTGGACCCAGATCCCTGACAGATGTTTGCTTCAGGAAATACTTGCCAGAACACAGACTCAGCTTATACCCGTATGGGATGAATGAATTACAAGAGGAAGTCTTCTGTTCATTTGCCAAGTCCACAGTCCAAAGGCGCAGAATACTTTTAAGCATGTATTGACTGGAAATGTATGTTAGTGTATGTTTTAATTCATGGAAGCATCTTTCCTTCCTTGTAACACCTCATTTGTTAAACTTTAGTGGGAAATGAGCTATTTCACCTATGTGAGTTATTCAGGTAGCTGCATGTTACTCTTTAAGTTACTAAGGCTTGGTTTATTTTAGCCTCTTTTATGGACAGGTTACTTAAATGAATTGTATACTCCTCTGCCTCATACATCGAATATCAGAATAAACCATACTGGCCCTGTCATTAAAACTTAAGTGTGAGTATGAGCATCAGTGATTGTATTGTGTCCTGACACAGTACTCTTCTGTGGAGGGTACTATTAAGGGGTGTGGGACAACTCATCCCTAAACTCAATGGTCCCTGCTTGTCACACCAGGATATGTAAATTCTGGTTCCTGCTTCAGAAAGTTCTCTATCTTGCTTTCATTCCTCAGAGCTACCATTTGCAAGAATCTCTTCCTTTTTTTCCTGCATCTTAACTCCCCCTCCCAATGCACAACACCCATCTCTCAGGTGTTACAGCTGATATTCTGTGCACTGGGAAGCAACAACCAAGCATGTTAGAATTATATATATTCAAGAAGAGGGAATGAACAGATTTTGTAAGGTCGCAGAGAACACAAATAGGAGGGAAGCATGGGAACAGAAGCCTCGGAAATTTGACACATCTTATTTGAATGCTCAGGGATTCTTTTTGTTTCCTTCCCAATTTGAGACTGTGTTGTAGAGAAGTGTTGTTTACACTGTTTAATGTGGCAGGGCCCTAGGATTCTGCTGAGATGCCAGATGCAGGATAGGTGTGTGAGTATGTATAGGGGGATGGTTGCAGTGCTAGGGGCTGTGGCTGGTTGCAGAGGGAGGCCAGTGATCACACTCTGCCTCTATTGTAACCAGAGCAATATCCCATTACTTTTTTTTTAAGATTTTATTTATTCATGGGGGGGGGAGGGAGGCACAGACACAGTCAGAAGCAGGGAGCCTGACGTGGGATGTGATCCTGAGCTGAAGGCAGCTCTAAACTGCTGAGCCACCTGGGCTGCCCCAACATCCCTTTACATATCTTGTGTATTGAAGGCAAGATCTCATTAACAGATATGCAAGTGACAAAAAACAAAAGCAAAACTACAAAAATAAAACAATTTCCATTCTTAAAAAAAAAAGATGAATGGGATAACTACTGTGGTAGTATAATCAGGTAAATAAATGCTCAGTTGGGGAATCCCTGGGTGGCTCAGTGGTTTAGCGCCTGCCTTTGGCCCAGGGCCTGATCTGGAGTCCCAGGATCGAGTCCCACATCAGGCTCCCTGCATGGAGCCTGCTTCTCCCTCTGCCTGTGTCTGTGCCTCTCTCTGTGTCTTTCATGAATGAATAAATAAATAAATAAATAAATAAATAAATAAATAAATAAAATCTTTAAAAAAATAAATAAATGCTCAGTTACCCTCTCCTAGAACATGCTTTACAACCTGGTAGGAAAGGCATTTAACATTTTCTAGGTATTAGGAAGCCATCTAGGCCAAAGAGTGTAACTCACTATTAAGGATAAATAACACAACATTTAAAAATTGCAAGTGCCATTTTCCCTAAACTGTAATTTCTTTTATCTGAGTTGAACAATGGAGCGTGTTTTGAAACAATGAAGTCCAGTAGAAATATGTTAACTACATGTGGAATTTAAGATTTTCTAATGGCCATGATAAAAAAGTAAAAATAAATATGCAAAAATAATCTTAATAATTTTAATATTTCATTTAACTCAGTATATCCTAAATATCCTCATTTTAACATATAATCAATATAAAAATCATACTGCTTCAGTTTTTAAATTTTAATTACTTGGAATGATGTAAAATTAAAGATGCAATTCCTCATTCATACTAACCACATTTCAAGTGTTCTGCTACATGTGTCTAGTGCCTACTACATTAAACAGTATGATTTTAGAACATTTTTGATACATCTAAATTGGTTGGCCCTTTCATAGGAAGAACTTAAAGCAAAATCTCATTAATTCGGGCTCCACTAGTTTGGAATTATGATAATTTTATCAGAGTTCAGCTGAAGTTTACAGTCTGATTGCTCTGTGGAGAAAGGTTTCACTTGGCACATTCACCATATAAATCAGATCACAGGAGGCATGCTTAATCCACTTAAGAGTATTAAGCATTTTGTGGGACTTTAGCACATTTATGAATGCAAAGATATTCAGTATGCATAGCAGAGTGTCCTATATTCATTAAAGGGCATCTAACAGGAACCTTTCCTTTGGGACACTTTGTTAGCATTTAGTTATTATTACACTATTTTTGACAGATTTATATGTCAAATTTATTTTAAAGTTGTCTAAGAACCTGATTTGTTGATATTTCAGATCATTATTACTTAAATAAAACTTCACAAATGTAGTCTATGTCAACTGAAATGTAACAATAACATGGTGCTTTGTTTCAAGGTGATACTATCTCATAGGGTGGTGAAGTGAAAATGAGATACGGCACTTTATAACTTGTAAAATGTCTTGTGCATGTTATTCATTCATTCAGTATTTCTTTATTGGCTTTTATAAGCCAAGCTTTGTGGTTGATAGTAGGGATATAGCTGTGAACCAGATGGACAGACATGATCCCAGCCCTCAGGGAGCTTACCAGCTGGTGGAGAGAGACAGGCAAATAAATAGGCAATGAAAGCAGAGGGTGGTAAGCAATATGATAGAGGAAGAGCCAGTTGCTAGGAAAACATAGAGGAGAGCCATATACCTCAGACCAGTTGGAGAGGATAGTCAGGGAAGCCTTCC